CTCACACAGGATATTGGGCTGGGAAGGCGCGCGGCGAAGGCACCTGTTTTCCGTTTGTTCGTTCGCTCGCGCTGGGAGATAAGCAGCCGTCGGAGCCGCCGCGCTGACAGGAAGCGGGAGGGGGGGTCTCTGCGGGACCAGCACGATGTGCCACAACGCTGCACTGAACCCTCTGCAAACAGCCAGGGAACCGGGCGGGCGTCAGCCGAGAGTCTGTGGGTACTGTGGGGGGAGGGGGGAAGCCTGGACTCATGGGTTCTATCCCCATCACCAGGAGTGACTGGGGTCTAATGATTAGAATGGGGCGGGGGAGTTACTGGGAGCCCGGACTCCAGGGTTCCATCCTCAGCTCTGGGAGGGGAGTGGGGTCTAGTGGGTTAGAGCTGGAGGGGCAGGACAGAGCACTGGAATGGAAACACGAGACCGGGATTCTATTCCCGGTTCAGCTCTTGGCTGGCTGGGTGACCCTGGACAAGGCACTTCACTGCTCTTTGCCAGTTTCCCCCTCTGTAAAGTGGGGGCAATGACGGCTGGGTTCTCTTCCCAGCTCTGGGAGAGGAATGGGGTCTAATGGTTAAAGCAGGAGGGTTGGAAGCCAGGACTCCTGGGCTCTATTCCCAGCTCCAGAAGAGCTGTGTCTCCAGCTGGCTAAAACAGGGTGGGAGGCTCAGAGTCAGGACCCCTTCGCTTAGAACCTGCTCTGTGGGGGTGTGTTGCCCCTTCATTTCTCTGGGTCTCTTTCAGCTCCGTATGGGACTCGACACCACAGAGATGGAGCCTGAGATGAGCACCTACGGCCCCTTCTATCCCCCTTGCAGCATGGAGGCCGGGGACCCTGTCAGCACGCAGGGGCCATATGCTGCCCTGGGCCAGCCCTGCTGGGGCCCTGAGGGGAACCCAGCCCAGCAGGGCCAGCAGCCCAGGGCAGCGGGGGGCCCCTATGGGCTCTGGCCCCAGAGGATTGAGCCAGCCCACCGCAGGCTGGACCCCTTTGCCCAAGCCTTCCCCAACCTGCCTTTCGGGAAGCCGTGGGTGCTGGGGACTCAGGCATCCAGGAGCCAGGGCTGCAGCCTGCAGGAGATAATGGCCCAGCCGCCCCCTATTGCCCCACAGGAGGGATACCCCCCTGGCAGCCCCCTGCTGCTGCAACTCCCTGGAGGCCAGCTGGAGGGGTCAGGGCCTCCTCTGTCCTACTGCAGCCTCCCAGAGAGGCAGGGGCAGGGCGGAGGTGGATACGGGCAGCAGCGCAAGGAGCCCCCGCTTTCGTGTCTATACCAAGAGAACCAGTCTGCTAGCTACAGCCCCCCAGAAGGCTACCCGGGGCCCGGTGAGTGACAGGGGGGAAAGGGGGGTGGTTACGGGTGCTCTCAGCGGATGGTGGGGCCAAGATGGGGAAGGCCAGCTGAGGGGGCCCCCAGTTTTGGGAAGGTTATGGAACTAGGTGATGCTCTCAGGCGCTGTGGTGGGGGGAAGAGACAACTTGGGGGGGTGGGCTGTGGTATCCGGACAGAGGAGCATGGAGGGAGGACTCCAGCTTGGAGAGTCATGGGGTTGGGAGGCACCACTGGGATATGTGGGCCCAGGAGGATGCAGGGGTATGGACACAGGCAGATACGTGCCTGTGGGGGGGTGGAAGGGGGACGCCTGGCTCCTTGTGGGTTATGGGGTAGAAGGGGGAACTCATCTCAGGGGGATTATGGGGCCAACCCTGAGGGTTATGAGATATACTAGGGAGGGCCCCCAGCTTTGGGGGGAGGCTGCTGGGATGGGAGGGGGGAACTCTGGCTCTTTGCTGTCACAGCCTAACCTCCTCTCCCTGTGTGTCAGCTCCCCAGGGGCTTGCAGGCCCTGAGACGTACGCTGGGCTCCTGGGCCCCCCTGATTGGCTCCCTGATGCCGCCCCCAGCCTCTGCTGCTACCAGGTGGGTTGGTATGAGGAGGGTGGTGGGAAAATGGGCGGTGCCCAGTCCCAGGGCCATGCTGCCGAGTAGGGGCGGGGGGCGGGAGATTCCCCCAAGATTAATGGCAGAGGCAGTGGGGTCTAGTGGTTAGAGCGGGGCTGGTGCTGAGAGCCAGGACTCTGGGGTTCTCTCCCTGGCTGTGGGTTCTGACTCCCTGCACTGAGCCTGTCATCCCCTGCAGGACACTGAGCGCTACTGCAAGGGGCTGGAGTTTCTCCCTGCTGGTTTTGCCCCATGGCCGGGGGTCTCCCCTGGGGAGCCAGATTCAGAGGTCGCTGCTGCCAGGCTAGGGCATGAGCAGAGCCCCCCACTGGCAGGCCGCACTGCCACCCCCCAGGTGAGAGTGGGACGCTGGGGCTGGGGGAGTGGGGCCTGCCTCACCTGAGCCCTCAGGGAAGCATGGGTGGGGCAATGGAGTCAGGGAAGTCCCCCCCACCCTAGGGAGCCCTCCCACCCCCCCAATACCCAGCCACTTGTCCCAATCACAGGCCGCAATCTTGCACCCAGATGGGCTCCTGATCACTCATTGGAGGGGAGGGAGGGCTGAGGACACTGGGGAGGAAGATAGCCAGGGAAGGAGTGGTTGGGGGGATGTCTTGATGGTTAGCTGGGTGTTTCCCAGCATGGGGGGGGAGGGGGAGTTGCTAGAGTCCTCGCCCCCCCCCCCGGGACCCAGCAGGGGTGCCAGCACTGGGGAGGCCACGATGCCCCATTCCCCTCATTGCTCCCCCATGGGATAGGCCCCTGCAGCCTCTGACCACCTTTCCTCCCCAGGTTTCTGGGAGCTCCTTGGCCTCCAGTTATCGAGGCACTCCTTATTGGAGCCGGATGCACCGGGCCAGGGCCCCCCCGCACTACACACCACCCCCCATGCTCAACCCGCTGCGCCGAGGCACTGGGCTGTTTGCTGAGCTGAGCGCCTCGCTAGGCGGTAAGTGCCCACCTTGGCCACCTTCCAACGCAGGCGGGGGGGCTTGATTGGTCGCTTGGGAGCCAGTACTCCCGGGTTCTACTCCCAGATGCGGCTGAGTGTGGCCAAGGGGCAGGGATGTGAGGGAGGGTCTCTCCCTCCACTGAGCCACGTGAACTGGGTCCCTGGGTGTGGAGTCCATGAAGGTTTGTTGGGTGGGTACAGAGCCACATGGGGGGATCCTGCAGGGCCCTGGAAGATGGGGAGGAGGTCAGGAGTTCTGTCTCAGGGCAAGCTGGGGAACTGTGTCTGTGCCAGGGGCCTTCACTGCTGGACTCTCCCCTCCACAGGTGGCAGCCCCGACCCCCTCCAGCACCTGGACACCCCGTAAGTCCTGTCTTTTGGGGTGGAGGGAAATTAGGCTACAGCCCCTTGGGCAGGTGTGGCAAAGGGGATGGGCCCCAGGGAGGGAACTTTGAGCCAGGGATCTCCTGGCGGCGGGGGGAATCCCCAGGCTGGGGAGCATGAGTGGTGGGAAATGGCTGGTCTGGGAGGGGCAGTAACAGGTCGGGCATGTGCCTGCGGTTGAGGCTCCCTCACCTGCCCCTTCCCCTGCAGACAGATAAACGTGGGCCCCGCATTCCAGCCGGCACTGCCAGTGCTGCGGGACCCACACCTGGCCCAGCTGGACCCCCCACAGGCTGAACTGGCCTGGAGGCCCTGGCCAGGGCTGGAGCAGGATGCAGAGACCCAGCGCCAAGGTGAGGGGTAGCACTGGGGATTATCACGGGGAGGAGCTGGGGCACCCACAGGCGGGGGCAGGGAGAGGTGGGGCAGGCCCATATGTCCCTTACAATAGGGGGAGGGGAGGAGAAGCAGGACAAGCCCACCCCCAGTGGCTCAGTCTGCATGGTCCAGTCAGTCCCCAGCCTCTTAGGGGAAGTGGAGGGGTCCCATGGGGTGGGGGTTCCCAAGGCCCATCTGATGCCTGCTGTCTGGGTGCAGTGTGGGGAGTGGAGAGGTCCCATGGGGTGGGGGTTCCCAGGGCCCATCTGATTGCTGCTGTCTGGGTGCAGTGAGGGGGGTGGAGGGATCTCACTGGCCCATCTGATGGCTGCTCTCTGGTTGCAGTGGAGACACTGCTGGACGTGGCTTGCTCCAGCGCCCTCCCCGGGGGTGGCACCAATCAGGAGCTGGCATTGCACTGCCTGTGCCAGGCTGGCGGGAATGTCATGGTAAGAGACCACCCTCACCCCATGGCCTGGCCCTTGGTAAGTAGCAGTGTCTGACCCGAGGCCAGGATGGTTCTGGCAGGGGAGCGCCCTGGGGAGGGAAAGGGTCTGGGGCAGCTTCCCCCTCTCAGCTTTACTCCCCCCTCAGGTTGCCTTGGAGACTCTGTTGCTGCGAACCCCAGTGTGGCCCAAATGTCACCCTCTGGCCAGTTACCATTACACAGGTAAAGGGGGGGGCAGGCAAGTGGCATGACCAGGGTAGCTAGCAGAGGCTGGGGGCCAGTGGGGGCAGGGCCAGGGGAAGAAGGGGAACAGGGGTAGCAGCAGCTGGGCAGGACAGGATGGAAGAGGAGTGGGGGCAGGATTGGGAGCCATGGCAGGATGAGGGGGTAGGGCTGTGGGGGACAGGAGGTTGGGGGCAAGGCTGTGAGGGAGTAGGGCAGTGGGGGTCAGGAGGATGGCGGGAGGGCTGTGAGGGGGTAGGGCTGTAGGGGACAGGAGGTTGGGGGCGGGGCTGTGAGGGGGCAGTGGAACAATTTACATAGTGGGGGTGCTGAGAGCCATTGAAGCAAACGCTAAACCCTGTATATGATGGAAACCACTTCAAGCCAGCCGCACCCCCAGTTCCAGCCCCTGGGGCTGTGAGCAGCAGGGAGGGGGGACAGAAACATTGGGTGGGGCAGGGTCTATGCGGGGGGTGGGATGGGGCCAGGCTGTGGTGGGAAGGAGGGTGTGGAAGGGCTATGAGGGGCGTGGAGCAGCATACCCTGTCTCAGGTTCCTCTCCCTCCCCCAGGCAGTGATGTGTGGAGTACCCACGAGCGCCGCCTCTTCTCCAAAGCCTTCGCCCTGCACAGGAAGGACTTTGCCCAGATCCAACGTGCGGTGAGAGCAACACTAGCCCCCTCTCCACCCCTCACTTCCAACCACCTTCTGCGGGGGGAACGGACACCCATCTACTCCAGCCCCAGCCTCTTCCAGCAGGGGGAGCTGTAGGAGTGGGGTGGGAGCGCTGGCTGCAGGGGGATGGATTTCCGGCTAATCCAGGCCTGGCCTCTCCCAGCAGGGCTGGGGGATGCTAGCTGACCGAGTTCTCCCTGCCCCCCAGGTGCCCTCCAAGCGGCTGGCCCAGTGCGTGGAGTTCTATTACTTGCACAAGAGCCGGCTGCGGCGCAGTCACAAACGAAGTGGTGCCGGGTCAGAGTCGGGCGCCATCGTAGGCAGGGCCGGCCCCGGGCAGGTATGTGAGACCTCAGGGACAGGGATGGGGGGAGCCCCTCCCCAGACAAGGAAGCAGCCTGGGGGAGGTCTGTGATGAGGTCTATGATGTCCTCCTCTTTCTCTCTCTCTCAGCCCCCACCTACCCCAGAGCTCCCTCAGGACTCCTCCCCCGGCTCCAGCTTCCCCTGCAAACGTTGCGGCAAGTAAGTGGCTTTAACTTTTGGGCTCCACACCCACCAGAGTGGGGGGCGGGGGGCAGGCTCCAAGTGGGAGTGTTCCCCAGGCCTCCTGCTTGCTGGGGGAGAAGCAGCTCGGCTGAAGGGCCCCCGCAGATGCCTCACTAACCCCTGCCCCCCACTCTGTCCCCAGGACGTTCTACAAGATCAAGAGCCGAAATGCCCACATGAAGATCCATCGGCAGCAGGACGACTGGGGTGGGCAGGGGGGAATGCTGGGACCTGGCACTCTCCCTGCCCCTCATGTGGGGTGCCCCCCCTGGGCCAACACAGAGCCAGCCGAGCCCGTTGCTGAGGCCCTGGCCTGCCCCGGGCTGGGGCTGCTCTATGGGAGGGACATGGAGCAGCTCTTCATGTGATGGGGGCCAGGACCCCTCCCTTGGCCTGGCATGGAGAGCCCCACCTTCCAAGAGTTTGCCCCACTGGGGGCCAAGGGGCTGTGGTCTCCTCATGGAGAGCACAAGGTTATAGGAGCCCCCTACCATGAGGGCAGGACCTGCCCCTACAAGAGACTCCATCCAGGCTCAGCCTGGCCCCTGCACTGCCCCCTATGCCTGGGCAGCTGCCTGTAGGGCATAACCACTGGGACATGTGGGACAGCGGCAGCGGGCTGAGGGGCAGAGAGACAGCAGGGATAGTGGGGGGTAGGCGCTTTATTGAGGATATAACATGCTTATTGCTGTAACAGCCACCACGTTCATGCAACAGCCACGCACACAACATGGACACACAGGGCTCCCTGAAGCTGGGGAGGGGGATCCCAGCCCACTGGTGAGTGGGGTGGGTGGGGGAACATTGTGTCGCACTCTCTCACAGCTCCACCGTCCTTAGGAGCCCTGCCCAGCAGGGCAGGATCAGAGCTGCCATCCTCAGGCGCCATGCAGAGGGGCTAGGGCCCCCTAGGAGCTGCTGGGCAGGGGGAACGCGTCCTGGAGGGGCTCACTGGGAACAAATCCTGGAGCAGCTGCCTCTCTGGGGGCAGGGTCTGACTTCCAGGCAGTAGCAACTGAGGATGTTGGGCTGGGGGGGGCTCCCTCAGCAGGGAGCAGCAGCACTGGAGATGCTGGGATAGAGGCTCCTCCGCCAGTGGGGTGGGGGCTGGGGGGTAGGGCCCCTGCATGTCACAATAAATAAAGCAGTCTGGGGCGTTCAGTCCCCAAGTCCATTACTCTGGGAGCAGCCCTGATCCTGTCCTGGGCTCTGGGCCAGCTCCCCACACGGGCCTCCATGTACTGGTTCTCCAGGTGCCACTCACACCTCGATGCTTGGGTCAGAGCCCAGGCCCTGCTTCTGCAGCAGCTCCTCCTGCTTCATTTTGGGCTTCTCCGACCGTGTGTGCCAGACCAGAACCTGCAATGGAGGAGTGCAGGACAGAGGTGGGGTCCAGAGAGATCCCCCCAGACCGTGCCCCTCCCCCAACCAGCACCCCCAGCCAGTCAGCACAGCTGGGGGACTGAAGACACCTGGGACCATCCTGCTTAGAGGCAAAATTTCACATTCCCCACTCCCAGCACCATGGATAGAACCCAGGAGTCCTGACTCCCAGTCCCCCTCCTCACCTTGGTGCAGTTGTCAGCTCGAGGCTCCAGCTCTTCGATGGAGACCAGTGACTGCAGCAGGCTGCTCTCCAGGTAGCCACGCTCAGCCAGCAAGTCGAACCGGGCCTCGCGATTGGCCAGCAGCAGCTGCAGAGCAATAGCGAAGCCAGCCATGTCCATGGGGAAGGGCCGGTTGGGCTTCCAGGCTGTGTAGAAGCCCACCACCCTGCCCTTCTCCACCAGGGGGCGCTCGAAGCGCAGGCCACCCACGAGCCCCACGGGCCAAACTGAGACACGCTTGGTGGAGCGGATCTGTGGGGGAGAGAGAGGGGGGGTGTGTCAGCAGCAGAAAGAGACCCCCACGTTGGGGAGGTGACACAAATGCATCCCTGCGCTCCCCACCCCAATCCCCGCCTCCAGCACCCTGCCACCCACTCCCTTCCCCGTCACCCCACCCCCTGCCACCCACTCCCTTCCCCATCACCCCAGCCCCTGCCTCCAGCACCCTGCCACCCACTCCCTTCCCCATCATCCCAGCCCCTGCCTCCAGCACCCTGCCGCCCACTCCCTTCCCCATCACCCCACCCCCTGCCTCCAGCACCCTGCCGCCCTCCCCAGCATCCAGCAAACTGTGGCCCACCCCCTTCTCCGTCACCCTACCACCATGCCTCCAGCGCCCTGCCGCCCCCACCTCCCCATCAGCCCACCCCCTGCCTCCGGCACCCTGCTGTGACAAAGTGAGAATTTTTTGTAATATTTTTATGACACGTCTAACTGTCTCCATTTCCCCTGTACGGTGCATTGTTACCCAGTGTGTGTGTGTGTGGGTGGGGGGGGGGGGGGGGGGGGGGGGG